ATTTAAGGCTGTATGACTAACCTTTTTTTTGAATATGTGTTTTTAGATAACACAATAAAATTATGGAGTACTGAAGCAATAATGAATCCAAATACAACTTCTCCAAAATTATTATGTACATTAGGAATTCATACTGGTCAATATTAATGATTATATCTATATATAGAAGAAAGTAAAAAAAGCTATAAATTTAGGATCACGATGATAATTATATATATACCTTTTTTACACATATATGAAACATAGGATCAGTACTCTGTGTTAGATGGTCTAATCGTAATGGACATTTTTTTGCATCAGGATCTGATGATGACCTCATCCTTATATGGCAATTAGATGCGTGAGTTTTTTTTGGGGGAAAAATAATAAGAAATATTTAAATATTTAAATATTAAATTATTTGACGATTAGAGCTGCAGTTAGTTGGGGAGGCGGTAGTACTTTTGGAAGCGGTGAACAAAATATCGAAGTTTGGAAACCAATTAGACGTTTAGCTGGTCATGAATCAGGTAAAGAAAATCTATCCTTTGAATAATATTTATCTTTACTTGTAACAGTTCAAAAAATTTATGATTTTTTTTTTGGGGAAATGAAGATGTAGCAGATTTATCTTGGTCACCTGATAATACATATTTGGCTTCCTGTGGATTTGATAGTACAGTTTATATATGGAATTGTCAAACTTCTGGTGAATAGCAATCTATAAAATAAATATTTTTAAAGAAAAAATTTTATATTCATAAACTTTTATCATTTGAAAAGAGAGACTACATAAACTGGAAGGTCATAGTGCTTTTGTAAAAGGTGTTTCATGGGATCCTATCGGTGAATACTTGGCTACACAGGTATTTGATAATTAAATTTATTATACACATGTCAATCATTATTAATTATTAATATTATTACTAGGCTGATGACAAATCAGTTAAGATTTGGCGAACTAGTGATTGGAAAGTTCAGACAGAAATAAATGAACCATTTTTAAATTCTCCCATAACAACTTTCTTTAGCAGATTAAGGCACTAATTTTCATTTCATTTCATTTATTTATCTATTGTTAAAAATACTTTATCATAAAATTTCTAATTTAATATTAATGGATTCGTTATTTAGTTGGTCACCAGAAGGTTCTCATCTAGCAATTCCTAATGCTTGTCAGGGGTCTGTGCCTGTTGCAATAGCTCTCCGTAGAGATGAATGGAAAATCGATGTTTCAATGATTGGCCACGAATCTCCAACAGAAGTTGTTGTAAGTATCATTGTATATGTATGAATATATAGTAAATAGTAATATATTAACTAAAATTTCAAGGGGGAAATTATAATTTGATAAAAATTTTTATTTTTTAAAAAAGTGTTTTAGTCCAATTCTTTATCATATTCGAGATCAAGATCGTGGAACCATTGTTGGTGGTGTTTGTGCAATTGGAAGTCAAGATCATGGTGTATCCATTTGGGCAACATCTTCTTCTCACCCATTATTAGTCTTTAAACAATTATTCACACATTGTATCTTAGATTTATCGTGGTCACCTGATGGAAGATTTCTTTTTGCTTGTTCATATGATGGAACTGCCACAATACTGGAATTTAAAAAAAATCAATTTGGTGAACCATTGAAACCTGAAGAACAAGAAAGAATTTTATCGAAACATGGTTACAAACCAAAAGAACCAGTAATTATTGAAAATGGAAAAATATATTTTATTATTTTATTAAACAAATATAATTTACTTGGTAATCAAAAAAAAATGTTATAGAGAAGAGCTGAAGAAGAAAAATGTAAAGCTGAAAGGTTTAGACTGCAACACAGACAAGTTGATTTAGAAATGTTGAGAGAACAAAAGAAACTACCCACAATTTTCACAGGAGCACCATGTAATAATAATAATAATGATAATAATAATAATAATGATAATAATAATAATAATGATAATAATAATAATAATGTATAGCAGTATTAGCAATAATAATAAAAAAGGATAAATAATATTAATATTTTTTACTAACACAAGTTTATATAAATTTAATAGCAATAATAAATAATGCATCTTCAACTACTAGTAGTAACTTTAATGTGTATGTATTATATGATCGATATCAATATCAATATCTTTATTTAATTACTAATTAATTAATAATTTTTATTACATGAAATAAAAGTAAATCTCCAGATATTATTCCACAGCCATTAGGTAAATTAAATCTTCTCATTATTCTCATTATTATTATCAGTCATTCATTACTCGTTCATTCACTCACTCTCAAAATATAATTATTTCAGGTTCTCATTTCTCTAATACTCTACCTACAAGTGCTACTACCACATGCCTTTCACCCCCACGATCAGATAACAATTATAACAACAATAATCTTGTACATAATCATATATCATCATCATATGATAATAATAATACTGATAATACTGCTAGTAGTAGTGCTGCCATCACTACGAATCAAAGACCTTCACTTACACTATCTATTCCTTCATTCCCAACCATTTCTTCATCACCAACTGTTACGAATAATCATCAATCATTTTCAATTCCTAATAGTGGTATAGAATATTCTCATCATTCAGCATCCCCTTTAAATCACCATCATTATTTACAAAGTCCAAATAGTGCAATTAGCAATAAACGCA